TTAACCGTGGAACGTACATATCATCCCCACGAAAACTACAGCCCAAAATATCGATATTCCTGATAACAGATTGACGAGTCGATTGAGTTCAAGTATCTATTACTTACCCACGGGACATGGTTTGATTTGCCTACAATTGTATTGGAGAACAACAACATCATCGGACGCCGCTGGTGTATAAACATGGAGAATGCGCATGAATTGGAGAGCAGGATATTTACTGATGAGCTATCAGGACAACCCCTTTGTTATTTACGGGACACATAACCCCTATCACTTTGACCATGCAAGTTGGGATCATGGCGGGTAGTGTATTTGTGATACCCCTGCACTTTAGTCCCATATAGACTAGTGTGAAGAAAATTGTGGTTTAAATAGAGAAAAGTCAAGACTCAAGGGTAACTAAGTGCTAGCATTTTAGCAAGTATATGTTAGCCAACTTCGAGTTGCTCTCTGTGGGTCTCACAGCTTGCACGAGCTAACGGGCCCGTGGGCCCGGGGCGTGACCAATGGTATTAGAGCAGGTTGCCAGCCGGAAGTGTGGAACTAAGTGCTAGTATGGATACAGTGAGAGTCACCTCTAAAATCCACATCGCCTGGCAGTGACACTGGGATGTGCCAATTGTTATGTCGCGACGACGAGGACGTCGTCTTTGTAAGGTGGGGTGATTGTGATATCCCCACACTTTAGTCCCACATGGAACAGTGTGAAGAAAATTTTGTGGTGCTAGCATTTTGGCGAGTAGATGTTAGCCAACTTCGAGTTGTTCTCTGTGGCTGTGGGTCCCACGGCTTGCACGCGCCAACGGTCCCGTAGGCTCGGAGCGTGAGAACATTACCGTGTAAAGAAGAAGATGCTGAGCGCAATAAGCAAGAGTAGTAGTTTCAAGCAACTGTAAATGAGGCCTTAGCAAAGGCTGTAGGTGAGAGTAGAGATTACAAGGATGGTGGTTCATTTCGAACTCTTGGATATTATTTCTCATCTTTCGCTTCTTCGAGCAGACAGGCTTGCAGACATCTAAAGAGGGTTTAAGAGTGACAGGCATGATTGTCAACATTGGTGTTTGCTTGGTTCAATCGATACTCGGAATGATCTAATGATGAAGATGATTGCGAGAAATGAGAATTTAAGGAAATTTTCTTAATACATGAAACAGATGTATGGTTGTTTTTATGTTGTGTTGCATTGGTCCTGTGATTTAATGGGTTTAGTTACTTCTTGAATTTATTATGATGCACGTAACTGATACACACAAGAAATTCAGTGATCTCATTATTGACTTAAACTTGAGCCCCTGTTTCCCATCCAAAACTAAACGCATGCAAAAGTAGTGATTTTATGGCTGGAAATAAAATGAATTTTTCTGAAGATAAACAACAGGGACTCTATAGAAGCAGAAATACAGAAATTTAAAACAAAAGTTTGAGCGAAGTTTAGCGAGTTCCTTTTTTTTTTTTTGAAGAAAAGAAAATCACCTTAATCTGAGAGAGTCAGGAACATTTCTCCGTCATAATCATAAATTAGGAACTTAACTATCTTATACCATAGGACAAATGTACCCTTCATTAAAGTCTTGAGATTTAAGATTGTTAGGTTGGGGGTGGATATCAACCTCCGGCGGCGGAGGAGCTCCGACGAGCTCCAGGATGGCGGCGGCGAGGTCCAGGCGACAGGCGGCGAGGTCCAGGCGACAGGACGAGCTCGAAGCCTCGAGCTCTGCGTTCGTTCGAAGCTGGCGTCAATGGCGAGCTCTGCGTTCGTTCGAAGATGGCGTCGATGGCGAGCTCTGCGTTTTTGGGGGGGGTCCGAACTCTGCGTTCGTGCGAAGCTGGCGTCGAAGCGACCTCTGCGTTCGCTCGAGTTTGGCGTCGAAGCGAACGCTGGCGACAGGCTGTCGCCAGCTCCTCCTCCTCATCCGCCTATAAAAGAAACCCCATCCCTAGGGTTTTGGGTGCTGGCTTCCCCCTTTCCTCCTCCGATTCTTCTCTGGCGGCTGCCCTAAATCGCTGCTGCGATTTGTGACTTAATCCCCAGCTCCAACAGTGATTGAAGGGGGATTTAAGAGAGAGAGAGAAGAAAAGAAAGAGGGTTTTATCTGTGGGGTATTTGTTCTCAGTTGAGAATTGAAAGGGTTCATACCCTGTTATTATTAACACTGTAGCTACAGTGTTCAATTTGAGAAATCCCAGTTTAGGGATCTGCTCCTAAAATTGTAATTTCTTGTTGGATTAATAAGAAATTAACCGTGCTCTTACCATATTTTTTTCATCCAAATTATTTTTTTTAAGATATTGAAACAAAGGGGGTCAAACTGTCACGTTTGAAACCTTGGATATTTCTGTAAATATTGCAAATATTAGGAGGATTTTCTGAAGTAGACCCAAAATAAACAAATTGTTTCCTTACCAAGCCTCCTCTGTTGGAAAATGTGCAATAACTTCCGACGAGAATGTTTCCAGCAATTGTTTGCCTAAATACTTCGACTCCGAGAATATCAGCTATGAGCTCCTCTGTTTCCCTGTCTAGATCAGTATGTGTAAGAGCTACGTGGTCATTGCAGGCAACACAATTTCCGAGAGCAGACAGTCTCTCGTCAACTCGCTGAACAACTACTTGATCAGGCAGGCAGTTCCTCAAATGATGAAGCTCTGAAGCGGAAATCAATATAAGAGTCAATAATTTGCATGATCAGTCTTTTTGACAGTATAATATTAAACATTTCGGAGAGAAACTGAACACATCAGCCAAAATTTGTAACCATCTCATTGTCCATGTTATTAAGGTTTGTCGAAGAAATTCCCAGCAAATATTTACAATAAAAGACTAAAATTCTTTAGGTATATATAAGGAATAAATAAAAGTAATAATAAATATATAAGTGAAGCATCAGAATTCAGGAACACAATGAAAAGTGCATTCAACATTTAATGTCACCCCAGATAAACACAGTTGCAAAGTTCAAACAACAACAAAGTAATTACACAAATATTGCACATAGTGTGCCGCCAAATGCCTTCTACCCACCATACTGATATATTCATGGGATTAATTTTCACTTCCCTAGCATTATACATGAAATTCTTATGGTAAGACCGTAAGAAAAATTCTGGACTAATATCTACCAGCTTGGGAGCTCAGAGGACGTATACAATGAATGGCTTGACTCTTTTTCCCCTCAGAGGGGTCTAGATCTTTTGCAAATCCAGAATTTCACTATTTGGTCCGAAGGAAAGAGAAACAACTTCTTACAGATAGGTATCTATCCTAAGAAACTGATAAAAACCCAATAAAAGTTTCATGCAATTTCCGGTAACCAATGGGCTCATCACGGGGGTCCGAACTTGGCGTCCAAGCTAACGCTGGCGACAGGCTGTCGCCAGCTCCTCCTCCTCATCCGCCTATAAAAGAAACCCCATCCCTAGGGTTTTGGGTGCTGGCTTCCCCCTTTCCTCCTCCGATTCTTCTCTGGCGGCTGCCCTAAATCGCTGCTGCGATTTGTGATTTAATCCCCAGCTCCAACAGTGATTGAAGGGGGATTTAAGAGAGAGAGAAGAAAAGAAAGAGGGTTTTATCTGTGGGGTATTTGTTCTCAGTTGAGAATTGAAAGGGTTCATACCCTGTTATTATTAACACTGTAGCTACAGTGTTCAATTTGAGAAATCCCAGTTTAGGGATCTGCTCCTAAAATTATAATTTCTTGTTGGATTAATAAGAAATTAACCGTGTGGCTCCCGAGGACGTAGGCAGTTGCCGAACCTCGTTAAACTTGGTGTACTGTTCTCTATACCGCGTTTCCGTTGCATTAGGGGATTTAGGCGTTAAAATTCCTAACAACTGGTATCAGAGCGTGAAACGATCTAGAGGAAGTCAGATTCAAGTGGGAGCCATGGCCGCAGATGAAGGGAAGGTGAGAATAGAGAAGTTTGATGATACCCTATCCCCTGATTTTCAAAATTTGGTAAATTAGGGGGTAGAGTCATGAGATGGTACTATCAGCAACTACCAAATTGCATTTTATTAGCTACTAACCAGATGGAACTGCAATGATAGAGACAATTGATGTAGCCAATTAGCTGCTGACATAGGCCAACATTGGGAAGAAAACAATCACGAAGTAGGCAAAACTAAAACAAGAAAACAGCCGAGAACATTTTTTTTCCTTCTTCTTGTT